CGCGTGCATGTGTGTGTGTCCCACGGCCCCGGGCACGAGCCAATGCAGCTGTAGCAGTGGCGGGGGGCTGGAGCTGCCCCCCGACCCCACACCCCAGTGCTCGTGGATGAGCCCCTGGGGGAGCTGGTGTGAGGGGATGGGGGATGCAGCTTTCATGCAAAGTGGGGCAGGTCTCTGTGCTGTGGAGGGGCAGAAGGAAGTCAAAGGGGGCTTCGGGGAGCCTGGAGGGAGGGAGAAGGGCTCTGGATCCTGCCAGGGTGAGGCTGCTGGCGGAGACCCCTGTGCCCTGGTGCACAGCACGGTGCCACCGGCTGAGACCCGCCTGGGCTTTATGCCCATCGGCTCCTTTTCTCCCCCCAGGAGACATCACTAACGAGCTGGTGCGGCATTTCCTGATCGAGACCAGCCCGCGGGGCGTCAAGCTCAAAGGCTGCCCCAACGAGCCCAACTTCGGTGAGTCTTTGCCCCCATGCCGTGGGGAGACCCGGGGCCCGTCCCGTGTCCGGTGAGAGCCATGCGTGATCATAGTGCCCGGGAGGGGGCAGAGATCTCTTCTGGATCCACTGCAGTTGTGGTCAGTGCACAGCTCCCCCTGAGCCGTGACACCTCGCGAGCCCAGCTGTGCATGCACACGCGTGTACATGCACATGTGTGCTGCTCAGAATAAACCCTTCTGGGTTGGAGGGATGAGCCAGCTGCGGCTTCAGCGAGGCCTGGGCTGGGGTGCCACTTCGGCGCCCACCTCCCTGCCAGCTGGCGCTGGCCTTGGCCTGCAGGACGTTGGCACGCTCAGCCTGCTGGGGTTGATGCTCGCGGGTCACCTCTGCTCTCCTTGGCTGCAGCTCAGGCAGGCCGATCCCTTGCTAGGCGGGAGCCAGGGGTGTGGAGGGTGCGGCCCGATGGAACAGGAGTGGCGGCTGGCCCGGACCGCTGTGACCTGCAGCCTTGTTTGCTGACAGCCTGAGACGTAGCCAGGGTGCACGGGGAGGGGTGTCCGGATCCGCCCGGGGCTGGAGGTCACACTCGGCGCATGTTCAACTGGCCCAGAGAAACAGCTGTCAGCTCAGCATGGAGGGAGAGGCCTGGCCTGGATCTTGTCCCGAGACTGCACGTGCACATGCACGCACGCATGTACATGCATACACACATGCACGCACGCATGTGCATTAATTCAAGGCATGTACACACATATGCATTTGCCTAGCATGCCTGCCCATACACGCATGCACATACAGGCACGTACATACATGAACACACACATGCAGGCATACATACACACGGGATTCTCCAGGTCCTGAGCCCTGGGGCTGCCTTCGTCCCCACCCCGGGCAGCTCCGGGCAGTGTCCCCACCCTGAGCTTGCTCTTGGCTGGGCCGGTTCCCAGCAGGTCACCGCCCCGCCGTCCCCTCTCAAGCCCCTGTGCTCTGCAAACCCACCACCACCAACCCACACGACCCCCCCGGCACACTGAGCACAGGAGCTGGGCCAGGCCTCGTCTCCCACCCTGGGCAAGGGGTCTGAGAGGGAGGAGCAGGCCCTGCTGCTGCCCTCCGTGCTCATGGGCCAATGCAGCCTCCTGCCTGCTCTGCCCTGGGGCTTTGCCCTGTTGCAATTAGGAACCCCCTCTCTGGGGACCTGTGCACTGACTCTGCCGTGTCCCCCCATCCTAGGATGCCTGTCAGCCCTGGTGTACCAGCACTCCATCACGCCGCTGGCGCTGCCCTGCAAGCTCGTCATCCCCGACCGAGGTAGGGACCGGGGACAGATGAGGCGCTAGCGGAGCCCCTTCGTGCCTCCTGGCTTGGAGAGCTGGGGAAGGGGATGGGGAACAGAAGAACAGCATTGCTCCATCCTCCCTGTGCTGTCTTTCAGACCCCAC